TGACACCGCGTCGCATCCAACCGCAGCAACAGCAGGCCCCGAGAAACTGCCTCAAAAGGCGCGCTCGTCGTTGTAAGCAGATGGGAGGGGAATATCCCCCCACCCGATTCCTTCCAGACTAAGGAACTGGGCGCCGAGCCCGTTACGGTCCAGGGGTTCGAAGGCTGGGCCCCTGAGGGTCTCGATAGCCGCCCCAGGACAATAGAGTCAGGGACAACTATAGGCAAGCCCGTACATGGCCGAGGCCCGAGCAAGCGATCGCTCAGGATGCCCTAAGTCATGTCCGAGACTAGCAGGGAGGTCTCCGAATGGGATCCCACCGTAGGGAGGCGTCGAGCCCCCAGGGCCAATTGAACGGCCCTGGGACCCACTAGAGAAGCCCTCTGGTACTTTTGGAGTGTATCTCTGGACCACTAGCTAACCCCTATCGAATGGGGCACGGGCCTCCACTCGGACTTACCCGATAACAGCTCACCGGAAGTGTCACCGCTCGCGCCCACCGAGGGTAGCCTGATATATTCCACCCCTCCTTCTGAACGAAAAGGATACGCGAGGGTCGCACAAAAAGCCAGGGGAACTCCTGATCGCCCTCTCACTCCGTGTAGAGGCTCGAGGGCTCTTCCTGCGACCTTGCCGGGACCCAGCGACCTAGGTTCGCACTCGAGGGCTCGGCAAACAACCCCTCCTTCCAAACCAAAAGGATGCGCGAGGGTCATAAAAAATCCAGGGGAACTCCTGATCGCCCTCTCGCTCCGTGCAGAGGCTCGGGGGCTCTTCCTGCAACCTTACTGAGACCCAGCGACCCAGGCTCGCACTTGAGGGCTCGGCAAACAACCCCTCCTTCTGAACGAAAAGGATACGCGAGGGTCGCATAAAAAGCCAGGGAACCCTAATCGCCCTCTTGCTCCGTGCAGAAGCTCGGGAGCTCTTCCTGCAACCTTGCCGAGACCTAGCGACCCAGGCTCGCACTTGAGGGCTTGGCAAACAACCCCTCCTTCTGAACGAAAAGGATGCACAAGGGTCGCACAAAAAGCCAGGGGAACTCCTGATCGCCCTCTCGCTCCGTGCAGAGGCTCGGGAGCTCTTCCTACAACCTTGCCGAGACCCAGCGACCTAGGCTCGCACTCGAGGGCTCGGCAAACAACCCCTCCTTCCAAACGAAAAGGATGCGCAAGGGTCGCATAAAAAGCCAGGGGAACTCCTGACCGCCCTCTCGCTCCGTGCGGAGGCTTAGGGCTCTTCCTGCACCTAGAACAAAAACAAGCAACCCAAGCTCACACTCGGAGGCTCGGAAAAACGCGATAAAAAGGGCACCGAGCCCGTTACGATCCAGGGGTTCGAAGGCTGGGCCCCCCTAAAGGTTTCGACAGCCACCCTAGGACAAACAGAGTCAGGGATGACTGTGGGCAAGCTCGTACATGGCCAATGCCCAAGCAAGCAAGTGCTTGGGAAGCCCTAAGTCATGTCCGAGACCGACAGGGAGGTCTCCGAATGGGATCCCACCGTAGGGAGGCATCGAGCCCCCGGGGCCTATCAAACGGCCCTGGGACCCACTAGAGAAGCCCTCTGGTACTTTTGGAGTGTGTCTCTGGACCGCTAGCCGACCCCTATCGAATGGGGCACGGGCCTCCACTTGGACTAACCCGATAACAGCTCACCGGAGATGCAACTGCTCGTGCCCACCGAGGGTAGCTTGGCATGCTCCACCCCTCCTTCCGAGCGAAAAAGGATGCGCGAGGGCCACCAAAAAAGACAGGGAAACCACTGATCGCCCTCTCGCTCAGTGCAGAGGCTCGAGGGCTCTTCCTGCAACTAAGCCAAGGTCCAGCGACCCGAACTCGTACTCATGGGCCCGGCAAACGCGATAAAACTCCTTACTCAACAGAGAAAAAGCCCCTAGAGGAGTAAATCCACCCCTCCAAGGGCTCGGGGGCTACACCCGACGGGTGCGCTCGCGCGCACCCACTGGAACCACGAGTACAAAACACAATCCTGACGGGAGCTGCTGCAAGCCAAGTCTCGACAAAGCCTCAGGGAGAGTGCTCGCACTCTTCCCGAGGCTCGAGGGCTACTGTCGGATACCATAAAAAGGGGTACCCTAAGCAAGAACCGAAAAGATTGCTTAGACCTTGCAAATATCAAAGCCAAAGGACAACCACGAGGTCTCAGCTAATTTTCTGATTCGCCCAAGGCCCCGCGCATAAGCCTCAGGCGAAAGGCCAACTCTCCGCTTCGCCGAGGCCCTCTCGCCCGAGGCCCCACCCCACAAGGCCTCGGACGGGTCACCGATTCTCCGATTCGCCCGAGGCCCCGCGCATAAAGCCTCGGACGAAGTACCGATTCTCCGACTCGCTCGAGGCCGGCTCGGCAATAACCTCGTCGCCTTCGTCTCGACCGACTTCTCTGACAAAACGTCACGCGTCCAACCATTCCCGCAACGTCATTCGCACGTCGACGCAGTACAGCAGAGCGGCCGACGTGACGGGAGACAGGACTGAGCAGGGGTTATCGGCCACTGTGCTCAGCACTGCACCCATGACTAGCGGCCGTACTGCACTGTGCTACCTAATTCCTGCTCCAGGAACAGCGTGGCGTGGGGAGTCAAGTCCGGGTCACTATAGCCTTGGAATCAGTGTATAGGACCAACTGCTCCCTCCAAGCCTCGGCAATCCACTTCAAGGTCTCGGTAGCCTCGGGATTTGCGCCCGCCGAGCCCCCCACGATGGCTTGGCCTCGGCACCAACCGAGCCTCGGCTTTTTACACTATGAATGTACAGCGACCGGCACGTCGTCGGCCATGCCCTACGCCAAGCTATCACTGGAGCTCCCACGTCGCACAAGATCGAGTGTGACCGGCGCATTGCTCCAGTGCATCAAGTACAAGACCACTCTGTTGACCATGCCGCCACAGTAGTAAGCTACAGGACTCAGACACGCCACCTCCACTCACAAGACGCCGCATAACAAATGCATGTATCACCCCTGTCCCCCTTCAACTATAAAAGGAGAGACCGGGGCCGTTTCTAGACAGAGGAAGATAGACGAACACTCGCATAGGCTCATGTAGATTCAGACACACGCTCCCGCGCTGCCTGAGAGCAACGTCTCAAGCAGCCCACACCGCTCCACGCAGAGACTTGGGACTAGCTCTCTCTCTCGCCCAGCTTGTAACCCCCTACTACAAACACTTCGGTGCAAGGAATACAAGATCGATCTCTCGGACTGGACGTAGGGCACCGATTGCCTGAACCAGTATAAACCTTGTGTCTCTTTGCATCACCATCCGGGATTAGGGGCACGCAGTTCAAATTCACTAGTTGGTTGAAGACCCCCCGGTCCAAAACACTGACAACACCCTACGTAACATTGGATGTGACACCCCAAAACTTTACACCCTGAATCTAAACACCACCTAAAAATGCGAGTTGACAATATGATGAGACGTGCCATGCCAAACACCATACTCATGCCCATGCCCATGCCGATCCAGCAGCCCATTCTTCCAAGACGACATACTGGCTCTCTCATGGAAAGAATGCAATTTTGAGTGTACTCATAAGAGACGTCTACCCAGTAATACTAATAAATCTCCATATCTACTGACGCGTCCATGTTTGAAATGAATCATCCTCAAATCGGAGCTCACGCGTTCACGTCCTACCCAGCTCTAGCTAATACGAAGACTGAATCCACGTGTCCGTGTCCGATTCTTGAGGTCATTAGTTTTTTATTACTAGCAAACGTGCACGGGCGTGCATCGCATGAAACCTAATACATCTTAAAATTGAATTTTGTATATTTGATGGACGCGAGTTGTTCTATCTCGTATGAACACGAGTCATGAATTCGGACAGCGTACTATGGCCCCGTTTGGCAGGGCTTCTCCAGCGGCTTTAGGAGCTGTTTGGAGCCGTTTTCTGCCAAACGGGGTAAAATGAAACGGCTCCACCGATGAAGCCCCTAAAAACGTGCTCTCACACAGCTTTGGGGTGGGAAGGAGCCAAAAATAGTGGCTTCTCCCGGCTCCTCCTCCAGGCCCTTAAAAACATGCTCTCACAGGGAAGCCATTTTGCCAAACGGTTTACCAAAACCGCTTCAGCTCCACCGGTGAAGCTGTTCGTGGAGCTGAAGCAAAAAAAATGGCTTCACTAGTGAAGTGAAGCCCTGCCAAACGGGGCCTATATATATATGGGATAGGGAGGGTGCGTGGGCAGTCTAGGAAGTAAAAAAACAAAGAGGACACGAGGGTATTTTAGAAATTAAAAAATCAGGTTAAAAGAAACGCTTCGCTCTTGCTATTAGGTAGAGTAGAGTAGAGATATAGAGATAAAGATATATAAGGATCATAGGTTCAAAGGAATATGATTATTGATTTTATTCTTTGTTTTAACTTTTAAATTTTTAATTTTGATAACATAAAATGAGTATTTCAGTCTCTAAAAGATGTTAAATAAAAGTTTGTCAATTACAAAGTTGTGGACTGTGTCGAGCTTCATAATTTTAATATAATGATTGTACATATATGACTTTATATGAAAAAAATATGTTAGTTGGTAATATAAACATTAATATTCAAGTGTATAAATTTGGTCAAACTTTAAAATTATTTCACTTAGGGCAGAACTAAAACATCATATTTTTATGACACGTGGAGTATATAACGCACGTGTATATTCGCTAGTATGAAAAATAAGAAGAAAAGACATAAATGCCGGATGTATGGATAGATGAGCAAAGAAAAATCAGGAAACAAAAAAAAGTCACGAACAAAAACAAAAACAAAAATAAACAGGAAAGAGAGAAAAAACTGCCGGCCCGAGGTGGACGTACGGAGGTAAGGTAATCAAAACAGGAAAAAATACTAAAAAGAAACGTCCACAAAAAAAAACGGAAACGTAAAAAGAAAAGCTCTGTCCATCCAAAAACCGCAATTCTCTTTGACGTGACTAGATATAGATATTGATTTTATGTGAATTTATCGTCGTAGGCATGGAAAAAATTCATGGCCCTGGTATAACATAACGACATATATATAAAGTATTAATGTTTTAACATAAAAATATATCTAATGATAAATCTATAAGCATCTCCAGCCGTTTCCTAATCCCACCCCTCCTTCCCATAAAACTGTCGTATTGAAGAAGATTGTCATTTTTTCTTCGCTGGCAGTCCTCACTGACCCCTCCGTTTTTTTGGCCGCTAAAAAAACACCCTTTCTCCCCTCAAATAGAGGGGGAGTTGCGTCTCTCCCAAAAGCTGGGGTCCACTCCCAACTGTCACCTTCCTCCCCTCGCTCCTCTCTACCTCCGTCGCTGCCATGGCTGCCGCAAGGTTCCCCATCAGCCATCACAGCCAGCTTCCCTATCTCTGCCTCCATCGCAGACATCGCATGCTGGACAAGCCATGGCCGCCACCGCCAGCTCCTTCGAGTTCTCGCTCTCCTATCGCGCCACCTAGATGCAGCAGCAGCAGCCGGATCGACGCCCCATGCCTCCGCGCGGACTAGATCCGTGCCATGCTCCGGGAAGCGGACAACAGGACGGTGCGGAAGCTGCTTGCCGGCGCCGCCCGGGACCGGGGCTCCGAGTCCGACACTCCGACCTCGCCCTGGCCGTCGTGCCATGGGTGGCGCCGATGCCGGTGGCTACAACGGCAGAGGGTCGGACGACAAGGACAACGCGGGGATGGCCCCAGCCTGCACCATCCACGCACGAGTCGGGCAGGTCGCGATGCAGGTCGCGAACTTGCGATGCGGGAAGAAGAACCGACGGGAGGGGAACAGAGAGGGAAGGAAAAAATAAATAAATAATTTGTAACTTACATGTGGGTCTCATTTATTAGGGCAGATTATTGATGATTTGGTGTAGCATCTCCCCTAATAATCTAAAAAGTAATATTGGCTACCCCAATATCAAGTTATTAGGGGAGTTGTATTAGGAGATGCTCTAATGATATTTATTTGATATCATAACTATTTATATTTTTGTACTCCCTCTATCTCTAAAACAATGTAATTCTAGAACGGTAGTATATCACATTTGATCAATTATTGATAAAAAAGTATAAATATTTATAATATAAAATAAATATCATTAGATAAATTACGAAATGTATTTTCATAATAAATTAATTTAGATCCATAAATACTCCCTCCATATCATATTTAGATGACGTTTAGGACATGAGCACGCTTACCAAGGAGAGATTAATTATGGAGTAATTTTCTATGCCTACCCTTATTAAATGGGGCTGCAGTTGTCCCCTATACATAAAAGATGCGTTGCTCTAGTGGCTAGCTCTTAGGTGCCCAGCGAAGCAGGTCGCCGGTTCGAGTCCCCGCAGCTCGCTTATTTTTTATATGTGATGCATTTTGCATGGCACTGTACACGAATGCATTTCGTTTGCCGTGGTGGCTGCTCGTGCGCGCGCGCGTTTTGGCCGTCGGCGGCAACATTTTGGCGGTCTTTTTTTGTATTTTTTTCGCACCGTGCAGCAGCTAGGTTTGGCGGTCTTTTTTTCGCACCGTGCACGCTCTCGTTTTCTTCGACCGTCTGTCCATTTACCGATGCACAGTTGTCATCCTTCCTGGCAGAGCGCTCACGCTCGAGCTTGTCGTCGAGCATCTTGAACACGTGAGGGGGTATGACGACACTATCGCCATGCATCACGATATTGTTGGGATCGGGAATGAAAACCTCGCAGTCGAACTCGTCGAGGCCGTGAATCATGGCAAAGACCATGTATTCATAGTGGACGAGACCACATCGAGAGCATGGCCAAAACCGCGAGTGCACACGGTTCCATGATTCCCGGTCCTCATGAACTTGATTGCAGCGAGGGCAAAGAAAAGCACCCGGCGGCAAGGAGTCCGGCACCATCTCGACGGAGTCCGGCACCATCTCGACGGAGTCCGGCGCGATGACGGAGTCCAGTGCCTCGACGGACTGCAGCAGATCGACGGAGTCCGGCGCGATGACGGAGTCCAGTGCCTCCTCCGTGTCCGGCACGACGTCCTCCGCGGCGACCTCCTCCGAGTCCGGCACGACGTCCTCCGCAGCGACCAGCACCCGCGCGCCGCCCGTCTCCATGCCGAGCGTGATGTGAGGAAGATGAACTGGTGGGCGACTTTGCTGTTAGGCGGCGAGGGATGGCAGGAGCGTGATGGATGGCGGGCAAGCGATGGCAGGCGAGCGGGCTGCATGCGGAGATGAAGGAAGGCGGCGCGCGATTAATGCAGTGTCGAGCGGATAACCGGGCCGAGCGTGCGAACCCAAGCGGCAGGGGCAAACGAGTCAAAATTCCATCCCACGAGCCGCAACGTCTTCCTTTCGCGCAAACGACTACGACGCCGGAACGTCATCTAAAACGGATACGGAGGGAGTATAAATATTATTTACTAAAAAATTGGTCAAATATGAAGCACTCAAAGTGGCACGCAACTCATAGTTGTATTTTTTTTAGATAGAGGTAGTATATATATATAGTTGATCAAATTTGTTTGTATACTAAAATATGATAATGTGATAGAATTTTATCTTTTCTGAGACAGAGCCAGTACTCTGCTGCCCCTTCGACGGACTGGAAAAAAAACTCTGCGACACCGTCGCACAGAGAAACATGTACAACACGGCGTGGCAGTGTGACACGTGTTTCTTGGCCCCACCCGTCCTTCCCCACCACGCAACCCAAGAAGCTTCAGCCATCTTGCTGGTGGGCCAGCAACACGCGTCGTCCATCTAACGGGCCAGCAGGACACGCGTCAGCCATCTAAACCGTACCGCAGCGTGATCTCACTGTGGCGGCGCTGCATAGAGTTTTTTTTCCCGGCGGACTAGTGCTTGCATAGTTAGTGGTTGTTAGTTCTAAAAAGTTTTTTAAAAAGTGTTATAAAAAGTGTTATAGTAGCCATCACATTAAATCTTGTGATACGTACATGGAGCATTAAATGTAGACGAAAAAAACTAATTGCACAGTTTAGCTGAAAATCGCGAGACGAACGTTTTGAGCATAATTAGTCCATGATTGAACACTAATTGCCAAATAAAAACGAAAATGCTACAGTAGTCAAATTCCTAAATTTCGTGAACGCTGTATCTTCAATTTTCTCGTCAACGGTACGTCCGTACCCAGTGCTGTATCAGCCTTGCCACCGTGCTCCGTGCACATCCAACTTGTCAACTAGTAGTAGAGATCCAATTCTAACGTATTGAGAAGGGCTCCAACTGAAATGGGAGCCACAGTACGGGTCTGTTTAGATCCTATGAACTATAGTTTAGTCATACACTTTTTATCAACTTTTAGTCTATGAGGATCCAAATAGGTGAGTTAAATGGGATTAAAAGAGGAAACTAAAGTTTAGTTCACTTGCTTCACAAGAGGGCGTAAAATGGGCTAAAAGTGCCTTGGAGGCGTAAAGACACCCCATGCCCCACCCACTTGATGCTGCATGGCTGTCCATCTGTATGGCTAAATTAAATTAGGAACAAATTGGTATTGTTGGTTAATGACTAAAGTTTAGTCCATGATCCAAACACTCCATCGAGGTCTAAACTTTTTAGTCATCGGATTAGTGATCCAAACAGCGTACTACTGCTGAAAGATGACCACCCTCGAAATATCGTTGCAGTTTCTTCACGACTTCAGCCGAGATCTAACTTGGAGAAGACAGCAAGCTAGGGCCCAACAGGGGGTGACCTCGATCGATCTACATACAAAGCCTGCTTCTCAGCAGCTGGCCGGATCATACTCCATGCATGTTGCTAGCTACAGTACTTGCAAGTTGCAACAACAACCTGCTTGAGGAGCTCCATGTCTGAAGCAACAACAATTAACCACCATGGCTGCATTATTACCTCCGATCCATCAATTATTGCTAGCCACACAGAAACAATCTGTTAACGCGGTAGTTACATCACATACAGTATTGCTCATGCTGACTACAGTGTGATGGAATCATGAGCCTGGTTCTGGCATCAAGCATAATGTGTGTTTCCCCCGTGGGTCCTGTCGATCCTAGGACATATGATGATCAAATTATTGGAGTAAGTAACGAAGTAGAGGACAACTTAAATTTTGTTGAATTTTGGAGCCAGTCCAAATCGCTATCAACTGGTTCAGAAATCTGTTGGCGGTTGGTAGCTGAAATCTAAATGCTGTTGCTGAGACTTACAATCAATCCTATGACCTATGGGGGAAAAGCAAGAGAGAAGTGCGATTCACAAGTCAATGAACTAGCCCTAGCAAATTGCGGATCACAAGAGAGACTCGGGGCACAGGTGGGTCTGATTGCACGGCTCTCGTTAACTTTGGTTAGAGAATCCGGTTCCGCAAATTGCCCCGTGCCATTTACAAGGATACAGCTAGGCGTCCTTGGATCAGAAGCAATACTGGGACACATAGGCTCTGCTGTATGCATTAAAAGTCGCCGACATGTGGGTTGCTCCTACTAGCATGTGAAGGGATCGTAGATTGTAACGCGAAGTTCTACTAGCATAATCTGCATATGCAGAGCAGAGGTGAGATTTTGAGAGACGAGGGCTATTAGCTCTCCTAGACTTAGAAGAGTCTGGCACTGGCTCTGTAGTCCATACGTACTAAGCAAATAAAGCGTACGTGGCTATTGTACTCAGACGGTTGTGGATATAATAAAATTTCACCAACGGAAAAGGAACAGATAAGAATATGGGTACATGATTCTACTCGCGGGTTGCGGTTGCGGATGCATCAATTCACCATTGGTGTTTGAAATACGAAGAATTTCATCTATTTTAATGGCAGTACAAAGGATTTCATCTATTTTGATGGCAGTACAAAGGATTTCGTCTATTTTAAGAGCCTGTTTGGAACGAAGGAATCTAAAACAGAGCAATGAATGAAAATATAGGAAAGAGATAGGAATGCGGTAGCAAAACAAAGGAATAGAAAACACAAGAAAGAAATAAGAGGTGTTTGGAACGTAGGAACCTGTAACACATGGAAATGGAAATAATGTGAGTAATAATAAATCATGTGGGGAATGGGGGTAACGGAGGGACTAGGTTGAGTTGGCGCAAGCTTAGAACCTGTTTGGCAGGGCTCCTTGCCCAACGGCTCCAGCTCCCACTGCACTGCACAACACTGTAGATCCCTGTAGCAGCGAAAAAAACGGCTCCGACTCCGGCACAAATGAACAGGAAAAGAGGAAGAGCCGGAGAAGCCTGCAATTGGGTGCTCCGGCGGCTCCTCCACAGTGGTGCTACAGTAGCCAGAGCCGGAGCCGCCAGAGCCTCTCCAAACAGGTCCTTAGTAGCGAGCTCCATTAAGTGTGTTCTCATCAATCTACGTCCTACTTTTTCAGCCAACGAACAGTATTTTTCTCTCACAACAAATCAACCAACGATACTTTTAGGCATAGCTTATCAGCCAAGCAAACATGGCACAGTATATAGAGAAATAAAGAAATGACAGGCCATGTTCTTGAAAAATCAGGACAGTGGAGAAGATACCAAACCTTGGTAGCCAATCACGTATGGTGTTGCACCCATTGCATTTGTCACAATAGGGGCCTATTTCAACCAAAGGACATGGGCAGTGCGGATGCTGGTCGAACAGACACGATTTCAATCAAAAACTGATCAGGTCGCAGAATGGGACACTGCCACACACTTGGTCGCATCATTGCACATGACCTACTTATACGCAACGAACAAAAATGTACAGATAAGAACGACAACCTGGCCAAATGCGTGCTCAATAGATGTAGATATGCTTCAAACATGGAATACAAATTCAATACAAGTGGCAAACGATGTAGATTGGTACAGTAAATTTCAACCTCAAGTTGTAACACATCGTGCAAAACATGGTTTCCGAGAAACATGAAAGGCCTCGAATCCTCGATGTTACAGCTTGCCAACAGCCACTACGAGACTGAAATCATGAAGTCATCTTTCACATGCTTTTGGAAGAGGCCTGTAACAGTTCAGTCTTCCTAGTGTGTACAAATGATCACATAATTCTAATTCTAGGCCTGTTTATACAACAACAAAAATGTTGGAACAACCCACCAAAGGGTATAGAACAGCGCAGCAACAAAACAAAAACACAGCTCATCTTCCATGCGACAAAATATCATGACACCGAGCCTCACGCATGGATAAGACTGTCAATAAGGATCAATGCATGCTAGCTGAGAAAGATTGTTGCCAATACCTTGTTTTATAGATCATAAAATAGATGTGACCCGGACAGAGTGGTCTGCAGACCCAGTGATGTACATTGGCAGTGTTGGATGCCAATCCACACTTGTGATAGATGAACTGTGCGGTAGTGTCCTCAAGCCACTTTCATGGCCTTGTACCTGAAGGGGTGCAGATGAATCATTGGAACCCGTTTCTGCAAAATACATTTAAGTGGTGCAATCAGATAGTGATGGAAACCTGATATATTGGGGCCCGAACCAAACCGGAGGTAATCAGCAGCCTCTTGCCATTTGAATCCAATGCTATTTCATGCATTCGTGTTTTAAAGCTCTCCGGATTGCAAAATCTGATAATAGAAGCACAAGGAGAAATGAGCAACTGTCATAACAATTCACAAATGATCACCAATGTAGGGTGTTCTCACCTGCTGCAATCTCTTGACCAAAGAATCTGACCTTGATTGTGCAAGCTCCATTCAAATATCTAAAGTCAATATAGTTGACATCGGATGAGATCATGCAAATTAATGGAATATTATTAAATTAAATATTTGTATAAAAGAATCCACATTAGTACAGAGGAAAAGATAATAATATAAAACATGTCGCAACTTTAATTTTCTTTATAGCTGATAACTGGAGTATACTAACAAGATTATCTGACCATGAGGACCCAGGGAACTATAATCTGATGTGCAGGCGATACATAATACTTAGTAGGGCCTCAGAAGCCCAAGTCCCCGCCATGAGAAAAGAAAAGATGTGTCAGCAAACTCCAAATAAAAGAGCATATTCAGATTCAACTGTATGTTTGGTGAATTGAGCATCATCCACGATCCGTTGAACCATCGTGTTCCCAGTGACCAGATCTACATCTATTTACAAGGCCCCAAGAGCTTCTGACTAGTTCAATTAGAACCCTTCAATGTATTTTTAATAATATTTTAATTTAGTTTCAGTAGTTTTTTTGGTTTCTTACTTTCTCGAAATACAGGGCAAATGCTTTTGTCATCTTCATGTTATTCCACTAGTACGTGTTGATAGTTGGTGTAGAGTACCTATTCGTTACTGTTGTTTTATTCCAGGCTTCCAGCAGTCAAGATACATGAAACAAAGATAGTATTTTGTTGATATTGTTGCCATGAGCATGATAGTTCAAACGGATAGCGAGTTGAAGGGTAGAGAAGTTAAGACACCATAAGACTTACAACACAAGGAAAATCACACTCTGAAGGGGCATTGAAGGGGTACACAACCATTTGCTATGGATCGCACTATGCAATTCATTTGGGATACCAAATACCTCACTGCCATCTTTTTTATTACTCCTTCCATCCCCAAAAATACATGATGTTTTGGGATTTTTCAGACAAATTAGTAGAGGAGAGAAATGACCCTAGCACCCCTATTTTGTTACAGATGATTTCCTTAAAAGGAGGATGTCGCATGGTTAAGTTTCCTAATTAAATTGCGTTCCATGCAATCATGCAGAGATCCATGGGAGGCAACCAAAAGTAGAAATTTTTAATTTGGCACATGCAGGAGTCGACGGATTTTTCAGTGGGCCCAAAGGCGTGTACTAGAATCAGAGCGTCAAGTTTTTTGGGACAACTTTTCACTCCCACAGCATCACGTTTTTTGGGACAGGAGTACATCGATATGGCTAGTTGCATCAATGAACTAAAAAGGGAAAAGGTGAAATGCTGTATACCTTTCCATCTGAGCCTAAACTGAAGATGCTAGTTTCTGCTGGCCCAAAAAGAACTGAGCTCACAGGGGAATCATGGGCAGGCCATCCTGTAATTTGAAGACCAGCAGACATGTCTATTTGCAGTTAAGGAAGATGTCAGGCTCAAATAATCACAAGGTGTGTGTGTTGGGGGTGGGGTGGGTGTGCGTGTGTGGGGGCGGGGCGGCGGGGGGAGGTTGTGGATCTCATGCAAACAAAACAGAAGAAAGTTCTAGCATCGGTGGAGCAAAGTTCCAAGACCATTCACCAATAAACTCTCTCATTGGTAAACTGTGCTTCAGTATTTATGATTTCTAACTATAGCTAAGTGTTTTCAATTCTGGTTCAGGTCAGACTAGTGCAGCTGGATAATGGATCAGTACGTCTTAAGAACAAAATACCAGTACAAAATAAGTAGAAATCTGCATCAATTAGGAAGAAACTACAGACTTGATAGGGATGGTAAAAGAATATCATAACAAAAGGATACCAAACATGTGAATCATTCCATCTGTAGCAGAAGCTGCCAAAATTTTTCCATTGTGATTGAAGCAAAGAGAAGTAATAGCAGGTGGATCCTCACCAAGAGGGAGGACTGTCTTCACAATAGAAGAAAAAAAAGGAAAAAAGCCTTTAGAAAAGATACTGGATACAAAATCCACATATAAGTTCAAGAGAAGAGGATGAAAGCAAATGAACTACCAATGGTTTCCATGTTTTCATATGCCACACGGTCAAGTTGGCAAATCCTGTTCTCTCAAATGTAGTTGATCCATGCCTGAAAATAAGTATAATAAAACGATGCCACTAGAGTTATGGACTTCTTATCAAGTACATGAAATATGAAATCTAAACAATACCGTCTTGATGCAGCTGCAGAGACAAACACAGGTTCAACAGGGCTGCATTTCAAATCTAAGATGCTGCAAGAAATAGAAAAGCTTTGTTAGCTAAACATTCTAAGCAAGGAACCAGCAGACTATAGATTATAACCTTGGAAAATCTCTAGATGTACTCAGGTCGCAAACAACTCTCTTTGCATCAGCATTCCAAGCTTTAATTCCTCCATTAGCTGTGCCTATGAGCAGCTATGGTCAAGAGAAATGGGTGACAAAAACAAAAGTCTTAAACAAGTTTACTTTAACCAAATTTAGAGTAACAGAGAGATACTAGTGCCATACAATCCAATATAGACATACCAATCTGTCAGATCTGCATTCCCAAGAAAGCGCACTGACTTCAGACCCACAGTATATAGTAGCATTTCTGGATGATGGTGTTGATGAATCATATGTCCAAATCCTTTCGAAAGAATAAGATCAACGGGTCAAAATCCAGAACCTTGAGTTAGGTAGCCAATGTGAAGTTACTCAAATATAGCAAAATTACCTAACTGTACCATCGATTGATGAACTAGCAATATTTGACCCAGATGCAGAAAATCGACATCGGCTAATTGAACTGTTATGGCCTAAAAATGTTTCCTGTCAGCAAGTCTAATCAGTCATACAGGTGACTGCAAAAAGGGATAATATAATAGTGGAACAAAACTGTAGCTTACCTGGAAATCCACTTTTACTTCAGGAAAATCTTCCTCAGTCACTAAAACCTGCTCATCCTCTGCAGCAAAAGAGAGGGTACCAAAGATATGGAGAACATGTACCATACATACAGTAAGCACAACAGAAGAAAAAATTGAAGAATATCAAATAGGAAAATATATTGGTTCACACATTAAAACAATCTAAACTACGGCAGCATTAGGCCATCTCCAGTGGCCCAGAAAACCAACCCAAATCAAGCCACTGGAGGAGTGGATGCAAAGGGTACTGAATATTTTTTCGCAGGCTCGTTATCTGTAGCCATGAGGAGGCAAGGATGATTTTGTCCATTTGTTTAATGCTATTGTGGACCCATACTTGCAGTTAAGATCAGTTCAACAATATATGTTATCTTGCTGACTCTTCATGGTCCTATGTGGTGGCGATGATTCCACTCATCACTGTAGATGCTCTTAGTATGCAACTATGCATGGTGGTGAACAGGTGAAGGTAAAAGCACAACTATGGGTCTAATTGGTTGCCTGAACAACCCCTTATAAAGGCCGCCATAGTCCAATTAGTCCATGTTTGGTTACCTGCATAGGCCCATATGCAGGCTAGCACTATCCTCAAAGCAAGTTCAGCCTGCACCACACAATTTGGCCGAATCCTGCGTATACTGCTATGCGCCTATGCACCCCCTCCCTCCCGCACCGGCTCTGCAGCCCAAGGCCTAGTATGGCCACTTACGCAGGAAACCAATTACAAGTGTAATATTGTACAGCTTTATCCAGCCAAACCAAACAGCAAATTGCATAACCTTATCCAGGTTAAGGTTCAGGGTATGCTGCATAACCTCTAATGCAGTGCAATACCAATGCGAGGAAAATCAGACCCTATCTTACTAGGTACCCTGCACAAAAATGTGGTAAATACTGATACAATAGCCATGAAAAAAGTAAGTACCGACCTGTATGGCTGATCTCAGAAGATTCATGGAATTTCCCACCTCTTGTATAAGATTTCACTGAACTTGAGGACCGAGAATCAAAACCCTGTATCATGCTACTTGAGGCCGAGGATTCTTCATAGTTTTCTGATATCTCTTCATGAGGGGAACCAGCTGTGCTAGTACCAATTACATTCTTGTTTCCATAACCAACACTATTATAGTTCCTGCATTTATAAGTTGAGACATGTTTTAAGGATGCATGCATGCGTTTGTTTGTGTACATGCGATGAGCTTAGAAGTTAGCACTCACAATCTAACCAAGCTTAACATTAATAGCAGACAGAGACCTATAGGAAAGTTAATGTTAGAATACTTTATGAAATATAATTCAGTTAACCAAATGGAACCTAATAAACTAACTGTTAATTGGTGGAAGGATACATATGGCAAGTACAAAAGGATTTGCATTCATTAATAGGCAAAAAAGTAACTTTGCATGCAAGAGAGATGAGAGAATAACGAATAACTTTACCTCCTCAACTGAGAGATTTCATCTTCCTTCGCCTCTAAGGACGCTTGTAGCTCTGCCAATTTATTGTTCAGTTGCTTTATGTCATTCTTGAGGGATTTGATGGTATTCTTTTCACTACTAATTCTCATAAGAGCTGGGATCCGTGGAAAAGTTAAGGACAAACAGTGTAGCAGCAAATAACAATATGTATGGCAAAGCAAAATTTTAATAGAAACAATAGCATTCACAAACATTGAGTTCTATCACAGTGATGATCAGCTAGGGAGGGGATAAGATTATAAATCAGTCAATAGGAAAGAAGATATTGTAAAATGTTAGAAAACATCCCACTAGAGATACAACAAAGAATATACTATGGAAGGATATGAGTATCATTGAATATCCCGCTCAAAAAATTCCTAAATGAGAGAACCAAAGTATCCAGCCACTCTTTGGAGAAATATACACGGAACTGCGGATCCAAGCTTGGGTTCTTAATATATGGAATAGCTGCATAATGTTATTGAGATTGACAAAGCATGAGAATAATGCATAAGGAATGTAGGAAAAATAAGGCAAAGAACACGCACCAAACCATGCCAGCCAATCTCCACGCTTTTGCATTAGATAATTGCTATTTTCACCAAAGAATTCAATTACTTTGTCTTGTCTTCCAGATTTCAAAGCATTAATAACATAGTACCTTAATGCTGACAGCTCCAACTTAACAAGGGTTGAGAACAGCTCTGTGTCCACAGGTGACATGAAACACTGCTTGAAAAAGGCAAACAGACCGACCAACCTGTCCAGTTGGTATTTCGGTACATACTCTGAGAACACCAAATCCACGATCTTATCTGCTTGAAAGTTCCTGCCAATCTCAGTAGACAACTCTGACTCATACGCTTGCAGCGTACCTGTGAAACCCCTGAAAACTAGAAACTCCCTCACGAGCTCCTCAGCATAACGCATGTTCTCCATTGTAGTCCAGTGTGTTACTGAAAGTGTAGAAATGAAATGTTATAAGCAGACCAACTATAGATGATAGCTGAAAGAGGAAAAAAGCACGAGTGACAGTGTGACACCATCAAACAAAAATGTCTCCCCTACCCGGTGACAATTGAGATCCCAAACAAGTTTCAGTTAACTAATTAACTTCAGCTTCACTTCCTAGTTCCTACCACTGAAGGATTTCATTCCAAAACAATGTCATGAAAAAGTCGCATTTCCCAGCACTTCTCCCAGGGCAGGGGCATGTCCACCCGATATTTTTTGTGAAACAATCGAAGATAGTAGGCATAATACATGCATAAACACTTGTAGTTAGATCAGATCCGAATACAAATAGTAAGTTAGGGTTTGGGTGCTCGATTTCGCACAGCAGGAAGGGAAGGGGTGGGCGTACCTGGTGGTGCTCGTCGCCGGCGAAGGGCCCGAAGAAGACCTGGACACCTGGCGGAGGGCAGCAGCGACCTAGCCGAAGAACTGAGCACCTGGTGTAGCCGTCGCCGAGAGAGCGCAAGCTGGGTAACAGAAGAAGAAAAGGCACGGCTGCTGACCGGCGTCCTTGTAGGGCCTTTCGGGCCTGTAAAATGCTGGGCCGTTATGGGCTGTTTGGTCCCTTCCTTTTCTATTTTCAAATATGATACTTCGATAATGATGGACAGATAATACTCCTACTCGAGAAATCCGAGGCCAACACTGGACGACCACCCACAAATTTAACAAGCGTAACGGAACGGGCGATTACAGTTACACGACGGACGCCACCGACCCCGCGTGATACCTATGCCTACCCTCGCTGCGCGGCAGCGGCAGCGGCAGCGGCGCGCTGCAGGCCGTGCCGCTCCATGACCCTGCGCGTGGCCAGCGCGGCGGCCTCGCCGGCACGCGCCGTGCCGGCCGCCATGATGGCAGCGAACTCGCGCTTTATCTCCTCCTGCACCCGGCTCTTCGCCGCCGCAAGGGGGTTTGGAGGAGGCGCCGCCAACTTGGTTGGAACCGTAGGCGCCGCGCTGCTCACCTCAGCGGCGGCTGCCGCCGGTGCTGCTGCGGGCTGCACTGCCGGTGGAAGTGGAACGGCCGTGGTGTCATTGGCACTGCCATTATTGCCCGCTGTCTTGGCAGCCTCCGGTTTATCAGCAGCAGCCGTCGATCTTGGCACCACGTCATTCGTCGCCGGCCGAGTCACGGTGGCGGCGCCAACGGGGGCTGCAGGAGCCGGACTGAATTGCGGCGGCTGCGGCACAGCCCCAGCTCCCAAGCTCGTCTCCAGCCCCTGGATCATCGGCACTGCAAGAGCAAAACGGTGAACCGTCAATTGGGGCGGCCTGATGCAGAATTCTAGGATGCAAAAAAGCTACTCAGGGTCAGAGCCCTTACGTATCAGCGCGCCGACCGGGCTGTTCATCACTTGGTTTGGCAGCTCGAGGATGTAGCCGGGGATGGCGGCACCAGCGAGGAACTGCGCGGCCTCGTTGCTGAAGTTGTTGCAGTTGTGGCTGAGGAGCTTGTAGGTGGCCGGGGTGTAGCGCGGGCCGATCTCCCGGAGGAACTCCTCGAACACCTCCCTGGGGACGTGGGTCACGCCCAGGTCCTCCACCCGGATGGGCGTGCCGTAGGGCGTCCGGCCGGGCTGGCCTTGCTGGATGCCGCCGCCAAAGTAGTACTCCCGCCCGTAGACGACCACACCGGTGTGCCTGAGATCGCACAAAGACATGCCAATGCCTCAATGGTGGATGAACAAAAGTGCTTACTCCGTCATCCACAACGCTTCTATAAAGCGAACAGGGGAGCAGCTTAACTGCATTTTTATGCAATTCATGATTTGTTTGTAGTAGTGAATCTACATGAGCCTTCCTGTGTTTCTTCTGGTGATATAATATAAATATATAATCATATATTCAGTGGAGTTTGGACTCCAAAAGACATGGACTTAATCACTTAAATATAAAATGCGAATGAGACTACAACTGTGCCAAAATGCACATGTAGTCAACCAGGATCAACGGCAAATAAACAGCAGGAGTGCAGCAAATTTGATGTCTTATCTCTCTTCATAGGCAACAAGGCAAATACAAGTCTTTGCTAGGCGAGTTTTAGCTACCAACTAGATCTTGCACTGGAAGCAAAACCATGAACCCATCTTTGCAGGTATAATTTGTAGCAGAATTCCTAAAAGGGCAACCCCACAATGTTTTGATGATTTGCTCATATATTGAAACTTTACTTACTTTGAATCTACATTTTGCAGAGGTATGCTTTAACTATTAGTGAAGGGGAAAACATACTCTGTTTACTAGAGACAAACATGTATCAGGGACGTGGCTGATATTACAGATGTAGCTACTACGAAATCGATATCACCAATATCAATGCAAATCGGTAGGTGTAGGTCCCACATCTAGATAACTAAGCAAAAGGTAAACATAACGCCACCAGGAGTGATGCTATTTTCTTTTTCACGAAGGAGAGCTGCGTACATTTCATCTTTCTCTTTGTAAAATTAAAGACAAAAAAAAATGGGCTCTTGCAACACAAGTCCAGAAGTCCTTGAATTCTATCAAAGGCAAGCCTTGCTGCGTTCACAACGATCAACAGGAAGAGGAAACAGAACCAGGGATGCTTACCAAATAGCCTCGATGGCCTTGCCGAGGATCGTCGCCGAGAGCTGCCGCGCCATCCCTTGGGTAAGATCGTAGATGTGCAGCTTCACCGGATACCCATCCTGCACACAGCCATGCAGATGCAGATTATCATCCATCGCTCGGTTCAGATGCAGCCAGATTCAGTAAGGAGCATGGGGTCCAGAAGCCGTCGCCTACCTCTGCCATCTTCTCCGCCCGAGCTTGGCCCCCGAAGCATCCGAACCTAGTAGCAAGGGAAAAAACAGCACGCGACTAATAAGTTGGCACTTGCAAAACCGAGGAAGGACAAGCCGAACAAACTACGTAACTGAAGTTGCTGCTGCTTTTCTCTTCCTCATAACTGTACATATTCACATGAAAAAGTCGAGACGGAGAAAACTGAATTTACACCAAGCCCATTCGACAGAGCTTGGACTTCCCCGAATTCTACTACTACAGAAACTCCACCTTTTCAGAAAGAAAAAGATCCTTTTTGCCCAAAACGAGTGATAGAATTGAGGAAAGCAAGAACCCGGAACCCCGATTTCGGCCGATGTACCTAGCCAAACCGAATTTACTCCGCCGCTTGGCCATGGCCGCCGACCAAACAGAGAGTTCCCACCAAACGAGCCACGCAAAGTAACCACCGGGCCAGAGACAAAGGGGGTGAAAATAAACGCGAGGAGAATTTGATCCGTCAGGGAATCAATTGGCGAGAGCCGAGAGGCAGACGTGTGGGATTGTAGCAGCAGAGGATTCTTTACCGGAGAGGATATGCAGATACGAGGACGGGGTGTATGAAAGGGGAACGAATCGCCTCTGTTGCGTTGCGTCCTCGCCCGGGAGTATCTCTTGCGTGGGGTGCAGAGGTCTAACTGTCTAAGGATACGAGAGAAGCAAAGAGGAATAATTTTTCTGTATTGTTTGCTTGTTCTGGGCAGAAACCAACCGCTTCCGTCGTCACTTGCCTTCGCTTCTGACTTCTGAGCGAGGTGGTCACGCCAATACACAGAATCACACTCTTTTCTTTTTCTTTATAATTTTCTCGATTTTTTTTTAAACAGGAAAGAAAAGATGCACAGGGGACTAGAGAAACCCAAAAGACAACCAAAAAACAGGCTCACATACACGCCCTTAAACAACTTTCGCAAGAACAGAAGCAGCAACGAGCCTGATGCAGCAGGCTACCTAATGACCATAAGCCAAGAGAACCGATCTGTGCTTACGTTACGACTCCACGTCTCGAGCCCAGCAGAAGCCAGTGGCAAATTTACGAGCGCACAACGTGCTCACAAGTTACAAAGAACAGACAAGAATCAACAATAGCATGTCATTTGTGGTGGTAGGGTGCAGATACTGTGCACCGAGGAGCAACTTGGCCTGCCTGCCACTAGCTTTACTGCCATTGAATTGAATCATCTCCAACATCGACCGCGGAGCCATGTCTCCTCTCCCCCCATGCCCTCGTCGTCGCCGGTGATCATGGCTACCTCATCTGATCCCGCTCCATGTATCTCCCTGGTCTTGATCGACGCCCTGGGTGAGTTGTGGAAGCTGAGATTCAACGACGTTTCAACTCTCCGGTCAGTTTCGATCCACATCTTTCTTCTCGACAGTTATTTCTCGTTCTCTCGGTGGGGCGATGCAAATACCGCCTCACTAAACATTCGGCTTCCCTCATTCTTCAATCTGTGATTGGAGGTCAACCCAATGGCTTCAGAATCTTGTCTCTGGGTGAACGAATTTTTCGTTTCTCTGTTCATTCTCAAGAAGTTGCCTTTCATATTTATCGACTTAAGTCTTTTGAATGTGTCTATTTTAAGATTTTCTTTCATCTTTAGCATGGTGGAGGACCAAATTTTGGAATTGAGTTTAATCTCTGGCAGAAAGAGCAGGCCGCGGAATGGGCGGATGTTGTTAAGAAATCGTCTAAATCAAATCCGCTCTCCGGTGCCAATTTGGAGAGGCTTGGAACCCGCCGTGTTCTTCGCCCTCCGAATTTTCAAATTCAAAAAGATTTTAAACGGGCCCATCAATCAGTCTTTACTCGCATTAAGCCTGCTGTTACTAGTGCTTTCAATTCAAAGGGCATTCTTTGCCCGCGTCCTCAATCCTCGTGGATGCACCTAGACAGTTTTCAAGGCCCAGCCCACCAATCCACCCCTAGTGAGAGGCCCCCTTGTCAGTCTTGTGGGCGTCGTGGCCATCAACCGGGAAGGTGCAGGTTCCCGCCTCGATCGTCGCGCCTCGCCGGTAATGCCGCTCCAGCTTTCGGTGATCGCCTGGTCATTCATTCGCTGCCCACTGGGCCTGCAACCGGCTACAAAGTGCCACGCTTCTCCTCTTTCACTGACTACTCTAAAAATCACCTTCGTCTCTCCCCTCCAACTCCTCGCATTGTCCCCTTGCGCCGCACCTGGAAAATCACGGCGCCAGAGTTTGACGACGATCCGCCTTCGCCGTCGGAGCTAGTGACGGTGTCCCTCCAACAACCTCCTATATTTTCCTCTTTTGGTGAGTTCGCATGTGCCAAGCTCAATATTGCTCATCCTCCTGCTGCTGTTCATGTAGCGTCGTCGGGGAAAACCCCAATCGCTGTAGCTTCTTCTTCTCTTTCTGATCTTCAGGAGAAGATGGCTTTCTGATTTGTTGATCTGCAGCCGTTCTTGCCTGAGGGTGCTATTGACGGTAGTTAACAACTATTATAAAACGTCAATATAACATGCATAAGAGCATAAATATAATCACCAACGAAGGTCTAGTGGTTTAAACTAACAAATTCCATGAGTTTTAGTGAATCAGTATTTTCTACAGGGTTTATCCAGAAAACCGTCAAGGTGGACCTAGATGTCAGACTTAATCGTGCTTATCCACAGCGAGAACGACCCCAGAAGGTTCCAGATGACTCGAGAGGACACCACACCGAAGCGGAGGGCGACACGCCGTCAGGTGGGGCCGGCGCCACCTGTAGGTCGGCCAGCCCCTGGGGCCCACCTATCAGCCCCCCCATTGTTATGTCGGTTCTCCACTGCCTCCTAGATTGTATCTACGCCGTTTGTTCAAGTCGGTTTGATCTGATGGCTCAGGATTGATGCTCTGGCCTATATATACCAGTCCCTGCCACCCCCTGAGGCATAAGTCATTTGAGAAGACAAAACCCCTAATCATCCTTAAAGCTCCACCATATTCTAGGGCATAGCTAGTTAGGCTAGGTCAAGAGGGAGGCAAGCAGGCTTCGCTTGGATTCCTGATCTTTGTACCCTCTCTCTTTTGTATCTCTTATTACTTTTATATGTTTGCTATAATTTTTATGACATTCATCTTCATATTCATCATATTCCTAGTTATAATGTTCATCGTCTACTTTGATTATATGCTTAGTATAGTTAGATTATCAACATGTTCATGCATAAAGTTCATATAGCGCTTGCTCCAAAGTACACGGGGTGAGTGGTCGACATTGTGTAAGCATGGTGCTTATACGTTGTTTACCTGCGGATACACCCTATATTCCGGGTCATGTGGTAGATCGCGGATGTGACACTCCCGTTGAGTCCTTCGTAATCTACTCCCCGAATATAGGTTTACAAGTAGGATCTAGTTATGAAGGAAGACAAGCTGTGTTCTTAATCTTCCTTAGTAATATCCCTTATATGTAGATATGAAGTTGATCTTAGTCATGATTACTAGGTGTAATTGCACTAATCAATGTATGCTTTGACTTGTAATTAAGAATGACTTAGGAATTATTTCTCTGATATTCTATTTAACCATGCTAATGCCATAGAAAGGAGTACTAAAACAAGTGACAAGTTAGTAAATACCAACAAGCATTTCTGGCGCCGTTGCCGGAGACTAGATTCAACTCTGTTCTCAGTAGTGATGCTAAGGAATGTCAACAAGCATTTCTGGCACCGTTGCCGGGGAAGGTAGCTAGGCAAAAAAGAAGTATCGATAAACTTATACTTATTGATGTGATCGAGATAACCATTGACATTTGCTTAAACAGGCTTATCCTTGTGTTGTCTACTTGTGTATCTTATGTAGGGTAATGTATGACCAGTTTTGACCTTCTGACAAACTACATTGATGATCCAGAAGCATTAGGAGAATTAAGGCTAAACTTAAGAAAGTTTCAGCTTTAGAGTCGAAAGACAACCAGATAAGGTGAAACTTAACACCTGAATTTGAAGCCATGACTGACAAGACTCTCCGTGAGTTCTCTGCTCCAACTCCGGCCAATATCCGTACTGGACTGACGATCAATGTCGGAGACAATGGATTTGAACTCAAGCCAGCCCTCATCAACATGGTGCAAGCAAGCCAGTTTTGTGGAAAGACACATGAAGATGCGAGTGCACATCTCCAACACTTCCTGGAGATCTGTAGCACTTTCACCATCAAAGGAGTGACCCAAGACACCATACTATTTCGCCTCTTCCCATTCTCACTTTTGGGGAAGGCGAAGCAATGGTTCTACGCCAACAAAGATAGAAATACTACATGTTATAACTGCTCCACTACCTTTCTAGCAAAGTTCTTTCCCATAGGTAAGACCAATACTCTGCATGGGAGAATTTCAAGTTTTCAGCAACAACATGATGAATCTGTCTCTGAGGCGTGGGAACGCTTTCAAGATTACATTACAGAATGTCCTCATCTTGGGATGGAGAATTGGCTACTTATGCAGACTTTCTACCATGGGTTGACCAACAGTACCCATGAGACTACGGATGCTGCTGCTGGAGGTGCATTCCTATCACTCACCATACCAGCTGCAACAACTCTTATGGAGAATATGGCCTCCAACCAAGGCTAGAATGAAGAATGTCTTTAGACTTGCAAGAGAGGTGGAGGTATGCATCAACTCAAGGAGGTAGACATGATGTCTGCTAAGATGGATCTACTGATGAAGAAGCTCGAAGATCGAGCCAATGAGACGCAAGAAGTCATGCACATTCATGATTCCCGCATGACATGTGAAGAGTGTGGAAACACTGGGCATTTAGGGAGCAACTGTCCTGAAACCCACGAAGATGTAAACTTCATCAACAACAACTACTTTCATCCTCAACAAAATCAAGGATGGAATTAGCAACACAGGCCAAACTACCAAGGCAACCCTTAAAGTAATAATTTCAATAATTTTAATCAACCACCCTTGAGAGAATTGATTTCTGGCCAAGCTAAAATTATGAAGAGCTATTCTAGGAAATTAGCTTCCAATGATAGAATATTAGAAAATATGAGTAATAAAATGGATAACCTCTCCTCTGCCATTAAGAATCAGCATAGTTTTAATAAAATGATATAATCACAAATAGCTCAGCTGGCTGCTGATGTTCCTCCGACCGACAAAGATAAGATTCTAGGGCAACCGAAAGATCTAGAAACTGCAAATCTTGTCAATATTCACAATACAACATACTACTATATACAACCATCAATGGGAAGGTGGATAGATTATACCTTGCCGAAAAAGAAGAGCGATCCAGGAAGACCTGTCATCCCCATCGCCATTGGACCTCACATTTTCCAAGAAGCTGTCTGTGACTTCGGAGCAAGTGTTAACATTATGCCTAAGGTAATTTATG